CCTGGGGCTCCTGCCAGATCTCTTTTACCTGGCCCAATCCAATCCCACAAGCATTTATTAAGCACTACCAAGGCACTATAGATACAGAGACAAAATGAAAAACAGCCCCCACCCTCAACGAGCTTACAGTCGACTCTTGGGGGGAGACCAAACAAACACGTAGCCCTGCATGATCATGGGATGACCAGCTTGGAGATCTGGAAGTGCGGCTCCGAGGAGAAGGACGGCATGAAACCCCATCTATTTAGTGTTCACCGTGTGTCAAATACCTTCTGCTGCACTGGGGATTCAAAGACAAAACTGGAGGGTCCCTGCCCTCGGGGTGCAACCGGTCAGAATAAGAGAGCGGGACAGACGGCACGCGAGCAGAAGGAAGCTAGAGACCCGATGAGGCAGGGACGGGGAGGGACGACATCCCAGAAAGGGGGCCCGGCCGGGGCTGGCCAGTCCATCCGAGGACCACGCAGCAGGGTCTGCTCACAGCAGCCTCAATCACGTAAGCAAATATACAAGCGACTCTGGAACCCCGAGAAGGAACTGCCATCTCCTTCTACCACGGATGCTTCCATGAAGTGACATATTTTTATATCTCAGAACTGAGAATGACCATTTTATACGTTGCTCCGTCTTCTCCTGCCAAGGATGAGATCATCAAATACGGGGTGAGATCATGGATGTCCACCTACCCAGGCCAGTCCTGGGAGAGGCAATGAAATAACATCTGTGCACGAGGTCACCAGGAGCAAAGAGAACGGAACCCCCTCGACGAGCAGGAACCTGGTATCGGCCACCTTTCAGGTCAAGGATCCCCTGGACACGGGGAGCAGAAGGGACGGCCCGGGATGCTGTCGGTTCTAAGCATTCTCCTGAGCAACTTCAATGAGCTGATACTTGCGAAGCGCTTAGCACAGTGCCTGGCCCATAGCAGGTGCTTAATAAATGCTTATTCTCTTCCCTCCCTCAGCTAGGATGGAGAGGCAGGGCCTCACCAGCACATCCCAGAGCAGGCAAAGGCCAGGATCTGCTGACTGTCTTGGACCAGAGCCAAGATATCACCAACACAATGGGAGAAGAACCTCCCTCACGCTGTTAAGACTTAATCAGCAAGGATTACTCTGAACCCAAGAACAGAGATGAAACCTGTTTAATTTGCTGGTCTGAGTTATGAAATGCAACATCAGGGCAGATCAGGAGAGCTCCTTGTACTTGTGAATAATGCATTTTGAGCTCAGTATGGTACAAAAGAATGAGTGAGTTCAAGACCTGAAGCGTGGAGCCTTGGGTTAAAATCTTGGCTTTAAGATTTACCAGCTCCATTTACCCATTTGTAAAATGGGGGTGATAATAACAGCGCCTCCCTCTCAGGGCTGTTGTGAAGACCAAATGAGATAATATTGGTAAAGTGCATTGGAAACCTTCAAGAACTATGGAAACACCAACGATTATTATTATTATTATTATTATTATTATTGTTATTGTGGTGGTGATTGTTAACCTTGGAGAGAAAAAAGGGACAGTGGACAAGCAATACAGACCAGCCATCCTCACTCCACTATCACATTGGTTATTCAAACCACGAAGGTCTGATGGAAAGGATTGTTACCAGTTAGCCCCTCTAAAAAGTGGGCTTCGTTCCCCAGGAGTCCAAGCCTTTACAGAGTGTCTGGGAGGTTAATGGCGCAGTTATTACTCTATATGGGTTTTGTAATGGCTCGGGGCCTCTGTGAATCCTTTTTCATCTGCTTAAAAAGATGGGATGAAAAATCATGCTGCTAGCAAATGTTCACCACTGTCAGAATACCTGAAATAAAATCTATGTCTGGGATCACTGGGATTCTCCACAAAGAGACTGGAAGTCCCAACAGGTAGGGCCTGGGAGGGACCAACTTTCCCTGATCAAAGGTCTGCTAGAAAAGGGGGTCCACTAAAGTGCTCATAAGAATCCATGCAGGCCGTATACTGACTTAGATAATGTTAATATGTGGATTCCTATGTTCTACTGAATTTTTATTTGTTTCGTTAACTATTTCCCAATTACATTTAAATCTGGTTTGGGTACACTCAGGAGTGTTGCAGGCCACAATGTGGCCCACCAGCCATGTATCTGACACGTCTACCTTGGACCACCAAGGACTGGATCTATGGGACGAAATAAAGGCTGTCCTATACTTGTTTTGCATTGCTCCCTTGAATGCTCATGAAGGAGCTGGGTGCCTTTGCTATCCACATTTGGAGAAACCTAACTCTGAGGAATAGCTCAGCTTTACTGTGGAGATCCAGGAGGGGGGTGGAATGAGCTGGCCGTCGTCCTCCGGAGCACAAAGCTTTGGGGATCAGAGGGATGAAAACCAACTTATTCTGTTCTCTGACCTTTTCAGAGCATCTCAGAGATGGGTGCAATGGGACAGGCAGTCAACCTGCAGCAGAAAAATTAGTACACAATCCTTATGAGTGACTGTGTATAAAAAAAATATCACCCTGGGGTCGACTGGGGGAGGAGCCTCCAAACTTAGCCAGGCTAGGCCTGAGACAATGGAAATACAGTCAGTCCATCACCAAGGTCTTCCTCGAAGGCCTTCTGAGCTTGCACTCTGTTTGCAGAGCCCTGGAGGGTCCAGGGTCAGCCACACCACAAGCAGACCTCCCAAGAGGGCCGTTATCCTGTCTGACTGGATTGTTTGTTTGTTTGTTTGTTTGTTTGTTTTTTAACCTAAATGCTTCAAGGAAAAGGAAAAAGGACCAGGACATTATTGCTCCACTACGACTTCTCCGGGGTTCTGTGTACCCCAGGGATGACCTCCCACCAGGTCGGGAATCCCACCCCTGAAACCTCATCGAACCATAACTGTGATAGCCTTCTCCAGATCAATAAGCACACAGACACAGAGCATCTGTGATGTCAGCGCTAGAAACTTCTGGCATGGGAATGCCTTCCACCAAAGCAGCGTGAAATCTATCTACATTTTCATGGATAAATGCAGGAGGCAGGGAGGGGCAGCGCAGTGGACAACGGAATGAGAGTTGGAGTACCTGGATTAAGTCCCAACTCGGTCATTTCTGTATGTCGTGTGTGACCTTGGGCAAATGACTTAAGCTCCCTGGGACTCAGTTTCCCCAGAGATAAAAGGAAGAGGTTGGGCCAGACGACCTTGGGTTCCCTTCCAGTCTCTAAATCTAATTCTAGACTTGCCACGGGGTCATTAGACATCACAGGCAAAACCGGACCCAGATCTCCCTATGTGCTGGGCATACAGTAAGCGCTTCATAAATGCTTATCAATCACGATTTCATTCATTCACTCCTGACTCCACACCTGCATTCTATCTGCCAATAATCCCCAGCACGCAAGATTTACTCCAGCTTTCCACGACCATGAAATGAGCCTCGTTGGAGGTCTTTACCAATCCAGGGTCCATGCCCTTGTCAGGGAATGTCTGTTATCTGTGGCCAAATCCATTTCTAGAAAGAGCAAACATCCCTGCTTCCAGAGCCACAGAAGAGATGCGCCGCAGGACCAGAGAAGAGCCAACATAGTGATCTCGATTCTCGAAACACAGAAACCCTCAGAGTCTGACTTTGATTTGGCCTTTGCTGATTCACCATGCCCGTATTCCGGATGTGCCCTGCATTTGCTCATCTGCTCCCCCTAGAATGAAAGCCGTTTTATACCTGTGTCTAGGAATCCTCAGTGCCTAGCACTGTGCCGGGCTCATAGCAAGCACTGACAAACGCTCACAGCCCGCATTTTTGACCTGGGGTATACCGGACTGTTCTGTCCTCCTCTTTCAGTTACAAACAGGAGAATGATGGGAAGATGTTCAGTCCCACATTGAGCGTGTGAGGACACTGGTGGGAGAGACGCTGGAAATGGGAGAGAATTTGGTCTGGACTTCAATTCCATAAAGCCAACTCTGGTGAACAGAACCAGGGTGTTGGTGATTAGTATACAGGAGCAGCATGTCGCAGGGAAGATGGCCCAGGCTCGAGCCCAAGGCCCCTGGTTCAAATCCCAGCTCTAACACCACCCGGGTGACCCTGGGGAAGTTACCTAACCTCTCTGGTAAAAATCAACATGCCTTGGCAACACCTGGGGTCTGGGGTATGAGAAGGAAGAGCCGAGGAAGTCAGCAAGGCTGCCAGCCTGGGAGACAGGGCGGAGGAGAGGGCCCTCTCCAGCAGCAGGGAAGGAAGGAGGGTTGGGGGGGGGGGAAGGGGACAAGTTCTGTTTTGGAGTGGGGAGATTTCTGAAAGTTGGAGATGGTCAGCAGAGAGGTCGAGGCTGGATAAACACACCTGCGAATCATGAGCGCAGAGATGATACGTGAATCCACAGAGAGAAGAAGTAGAGAAAGGGGGCTGGACAGCGCCCTGTGGTCAGGGGCTGGAGGGCCCTGGAGGAGGATCCCCCCCGAGGCAGTTCAGAAGGAGCAGTCAGATGCGGGGAGGACTGGAGGAGGACCAGGGGTCCCCAAGACCTACTGATGGCTCAAAGGATGAGGACTGAGGAAAGGCCATGGGATCTGGCAGTAACTTTGGGCAAGTGACAATCTCCTTGGGCCTCAGTTTCCTTATATGTAAAAAGAGGGGGTGAGAGTAGAGAATCTCCAAGGTCCCCTTCCTGCTTTCAACTTAGGAACCTGTTTCAAATCTTCCTCTCACATTTACTCTCCATACGACCCTGGGCAAGTCACTTAACTCTCTGGGCGTCTGTTTCCTCAGCTGCCTTTTCCTCAGTCATAGACTGACGACGATCCTATGGTCTTAGTGTCTTGCTCATCATCACCCAGAAAGTATGGACAATTGGGGATGCTCCTGACACTGAGTCTGACACTTTTCCTTGACCCTGCATTCTCCTTACCATAAGGTATATTTCAAAGACAAAGCCTTTTTAAAAAGGAAAGGAAAGGGGAAAAATGCACATTTTTGGCCCTGATTTCAGTGGGCTATGAAACCCTTTGCACTTGGGTTCTACACACCCCTCCCCCAGCCCTGTTTCTTACCTTCCCCCACCAAGGACACCCCTATGGACATTCCCATGAATTTGCTCTTGGTCCACACGTAGGTGTTCACAAACATTCCCTTCTCCTTGCACTCGCAGTAAAAGCACGACACCGGTGGGTGGTGGGACACCTGCTCGGCCACAAAGGTCAGTTTGTACCGTCCCGACCGGGGCTCACTGGCCTCCTGGGCCTTGGCCTTCCGCTTTCTTGGCAAAGGCTTGACGCGGTCCTTGGGGATGTCCCAGGAGCAGTGAAACGTCTCGCCCAGGATGGGGTTGTACGGCTTCTTGGCCACCGCGCCCTTGCGGCCCTCGCGGAAAGACGTCAGGTAGTACTCCACGAAGGAGATGGCTCTGTCGGCCGGGGTGGCCCCGGAGCCGATGGACAGCAGCATGTCTGGGTGGGCCATGAAGTTGGCAAACATCTCCAGGAGGGACCTTTTCTCCAAGATGAAGGTGGGGAGCGCAACCTGTGTCAGAAGCAGACAGGGAATTAGCACAGGCAGCCTGGCCAGGCTCTCAAAGCACCTACAGATGTGACCCCCTTGAACCTCGAAGCAACTCAGCGATGGCACTGCCCATACCGTTATCCCCACTTTGCAGATGAGGAAACTGAAGCAGAGGGGTGCTGTGACTACCAAGGAAAGTCCAGCCTCCTCATCTTATAGACGAGGAAACTGAGGCAGAGGGGTGCTGTGACTCCCAAGGAAAGTCCAGCCTCCCCATCTTATAGACGAGGAAACTGAGGCAGAGGGGTGCTGTGACTCCCAAGGAAAGTCCAGCCTCCCCATCTGACATAGGAGGAAACTGAGGCTCCAAGATCTTGCCCAACACTGGGCAGATCACAGAACTCTGCAATGAGAAATGGAAGGAAACCTAGAACCTGTTGAGTTACAAGATCATGGACCTATCTCCAAAAGGAACCTCAGAGCTCAGTAAGCCCAACCTCCCCACCTTACAGAGGAGGAAAGCTACTTGTCTAAGGTCAGGGGCAGAATTTGAACCCAGATCCTCTGACCTCTTCCTGGGCTTTTTCTACGACTCCACACACACGGTCTCTCCCTCTATTTCTTTCCTTCCCTTGTCCAGACAATCTTCTCTCCCCCCAAATGTCATTTCTCTGAACACACAAGCTTCTCTTGCCCCCTGCCCCGACCCAAGCCTCTATTATTTATAGACGTGAAGACGGGGGGAAAACCAGCAAAAGGGAGCAAGTTGTTGCCTCTTTCCTAATATCAGTTACAAGTTGATGGATCGCAAAGTGTCACCAACACCAGAAACCCTGATCTTCTTCAGGAGGCTCCAGAGAATGAAGCGTGAGCTCACACCTGGGGAGCCCCAGCTGTCACAGCATCCCTGGGGAGAGGTGCTGTAGTGCAGGGGGCAGGGACGCCCCTCGATTCCATTCAGCCAATATATGTGTGACATCTCAGAAGCGCTCAACACCAGGGTTATCGATGGCATGGTCCCTGCCTGTGGGAGTTCCCATTCCCAGCCCCCTAGGCTGGGATTTTATCTGCTTTATCAGGTCAGATGATGTCATGGTCCCCACCCCATCCACCTGGTCCCAAAGAACGAAAACAACATAGGAATGAACGGGCACTGATCCTAGCTTGTCAGGGACGTCATACTCTGTTTGATCACCACGACCTTAAACGTTTGTCATAATGGAGAAATCGCAGTGTTTCAGGGCAGGAACTGTGATTCCTCATTTAAGGACCGGATGCCTCTCTTCTCATACCATTAAGGTTCCTTTGTAGTTGCAACGCTCATGGCAAGCTCAACCTTGCTTTAAAAAATTCTCTCCCATCTTAGGGTGCTTCTATCCCCCCAGCAGCTGCCTGCTGATCCGTCTCAGCACTCCTGGCAATCCGCCAAAGTGTAAGGAATGACATTTATTCCATAAGGCACAAACTGCACTCTCTCTCTCCCCGCCACTAAACATAGCGTATGACACACAGTCAGCGCTCAATAAATGCTCGTTGACCCGACTTCATCTATACTGGCATTCTTCTGAGTCTGGAGTCTGACTCAGGACCGTCAAGAGTTAAAGGAGAAATTCTGGCCATCAGCAAACTCAGCGGTGTCTTTGTTCTCCTTTTGCTAATGCCGTATTTCTGGAGTCTTGAGGTCCCTCATCTAATGGGCTGTGGCTTCCTCTGGGAAGGAGGGGGAGGACAGCAGTCCCTGGACTCAGCACTGTAGAGACTCATGTGTCACAGAGTCCAGCTCAGGCCGGGAGCCTGGGCCTAATAAATCCCCAAGACCAGCCGCGGCGAGGGTCAGACCCTTTTCCCCTCTATTTGCTCCAAGCTTTGTCTCTTTGCTCGGGGAAGGGGATAATGCCAGGACTAAGGAGGCACTGGGCCAGTGGTCTTGGCTCTGGTCAGACCACATCTGGAACACGGCGCTGGCTTCTGGGGGCTACATTTCAAGGTCATTACTAAGCTAGGAGACACAGGCTCAAAGATCCTACGGCACGGGTCTCACAGGTAACAAACACCTGGTTTCGCCATCAATCACTGCTCTAGAACCACCTTGAAAATGGAAAAAAAAAACCACAATGAAGCATCACCAACACAGGGCAGAGACAGGATCTTTCGTGTAGAAAAAGGGAAACCTGGAAAGCCGCTTCTGGTGCACCACCCACACAAGCTGACGTGACTCTGAAGGCAGTTAGCTGCCCCCTCAGGAGGGAAGGTCCAACCTGAGAGGCCTTGGACCCGCCTGGGGCAGTATCCTGCCACCTCTTCCTCTAGCCCGTCCAAGGCCTCAGCCAGCTACAAAAAAAGGGGTCCATCAACACACCCCTTTAAAATAAGCAAATTTTGGGGCAGCTAGGTGACACACCGACTCTAGAGTCAGGAGGACCTGAGTTCAAATCAAGCCTCAGACACTTGACACTTACTAGCTGTATGACCCTGGGCAAGTCACTTAACCCTGACTGCCTCCCCCAAATGAATGAATGAATAAATGAATGAATGAATGAATGAATGAATAAGGTACATGGATCATCCTTTCTTTCCTAGGGTAACTGCTCATTCACCACAAAAACATCGTTTAGAAGAGCATTTGCTACTTAATGGTGGGAAACTACATGTGTAGAAGAGACCAATCAACTCTCCCCAATAAATTTTAAGAAAAATCCCAGTCACAAAACAGTACTTTGTTGTTTAGTTGTTTTTCAGTTGTATTTGACCCTTCATGGCCCCATTTGGGTCTTGGCAAAGACACTGGAGTGGTTTGCCCTTTCCTTCTCCAGCTCATTTTACCAGATAAGGAAATTGAGGCAAACAGGGTTAGGTGATTTGCCCAGGGTCACATAGCTAGTAAGTGTCTGAAGTCAAATTTGAATTCAGGTCTTCCTGATTCCAGGCCAGGCACTTTCTCCACTGTACCACCTAGCTGCCCCCAACAAAATAGCACTACTTTACCCCTAAATGACTATTCTAGGGGCACATGAAATTAGTAAAAATCACAATGTTTCTTAGTATTCATGACCAAATTCCATTATGGGCAGCTGGGTTGCACAGGAGAGAGAAGTCTGGGCCTGGAGACAGGAAGATCTGAGTTCAAATCCAGCCTCAGACACTTAGTAACTTACTAACTTAGATACTTACCAACACAGTGACCCTTGGGCAAGTCACTTAAATCTCTATTTGCCTCAGTTTTCTCAACCAGAAAATGGGGGATAACAATAGCTCGTATCTCCCAAGGTTGTGGTGAGAATAAAATGAGATAATATTTTTTAAAGCATTTAGTATAGTGCTTGGCACACATCAGGCACTATATAAATGCTAATTATTATTGTTGTTGTATTTCCTTAAGTCCTATCTTGGAATGACAAAAAAGGTTTTTTCTTTAAAAATTAGAAGACATAAGAGGGGCAGCTAGGTGGTGCAGTGGATAGAGCACCAGCCCTGGAGTCAGGAGGACCTGAGTTCAAATCTGGCCTCAGACACTTGATATTTACTAGCTGTGTGACCTTGGGCAAGTCACTTAACCCCACTGCCTAGCCAAAAAAAAAATTAGAAGACATACCATAATCGTGCAGAGATGGAAATAAGGTCAAATCCCAGGCTTTATAGATGATTGCTCAGATAAAAGAGTATCACCTCCCTTTCATATTGTAACAAATCTCTAACAAATCCTTATTAATCAGTGGTTGGCCCCAGATTTTCCTTCATTTTTCAGCATGTGGGGGAAAGGTGAAAGAATACTAGATTTGAAGTCAGAGGATGTTAGTTCAAATCTCAGCCCGGCTACTTATTAATTTTTTCATCTCTGAAGTAAGGGGATTGGATTAGGTAATCTAAAGGTCCCTTCGGCTTCAAATTTTCTTGTAGCCAATAATTTATAAAACTTGGAGGGTGGCCAGTGACTCACTGAAGAGGCTGCACCGGCCGGCACTGGCCCCAGGGCCTTTATCAGGCCAGGGGGAGCACCTGAGGCCCCCTTGCGCACTTCGCTTTGGCCTTTTCGCCACCTGTCACCATGGCCCATCATGGATCTCTCAGTCACCATCCCCGGGCCTACTCTTCCCATCCGCGTCCCCACCACCTGCCAAACGTTTGTCATCACTAGGTTTGCCAACCTCGCGCTGACCCGCTCGGTGCTTGGTGCTATGTGAATGGTCGCTCTCATCATCACCGTCGTTACGACGACTTTGCAGCCTGTGACCTGCCATAGTGAGTATCTCGGGGAGTTCACTGATGCTCCTGACTATGACAGGCTTCACAGAATCTGGTACTTTCTCTGTTTCAGGGAAACAGTCTGACCTCGATTCTTTGGCACACATTGATTTATTTAGAGGCTCAAAGAATCCAAGGGGACCCTCAGAGATCTCCAGCCCAGACCTCTCCCCCCAATGCCTTGATGCCTTCAAAAAGTTAAATAACAACTATTTACAAAGTGCTAAAAGAGAGACGAATCTATTTAACATGTGTACAGAGAATGAGAACACAGATCAATAATGATGATAATAACTGCTAGTGGTTACAGTGCTTTGTTTGTGAAGCGCTCTGTATATCTTATCTCATTGGATTCTCACAACTCTGGGAGGTAAGTGCTGTTATTATCCCCATTTTATGGTTGACAAAACTGACGCAGATAGAGGTAAAGTGACTTGTCCAGGGTCACATAGCTAGTAAATGTCTGAGGCTGCATTTGAACTCTGGCCTTCCTGACTTCAGGCCCAGCGCTCTGTGCTAAGCCTAACCCTGACCCTGTCGAATGAGGATAGGATGAATGCTTATGAGAAGACAAAGTGCTTTGAGATCAGATGACAGGGAGAGCGGGGAAGTCGCCAACAGAAAGTGCCAAGTGGCCCTTTTCATCTACTAATCAAGGAATGCTTATTAAAATCTACTCTGCCCCAGGTGCTAGGCCAGGTGCCCCGGATTCAGATACAAAACGTCCAGCTGACTGATCCCCGAGGACTCGCCAGAGGGGAAGTGGGACGTGACAGAGC